AAAAGGAAGTGCCCAAATGTAAGTATCAAATTCACATCTTTTGCTATGAAACTGCATTGGAAAATAATATTAAGAATTGACAGTAAGACACAGACCCACTGTATTCAGTTATCCATGACTTTGGCATATTGTCCCCAGTAGAAAAGAGCTGAAGTCACTTCTGCTAGGGACAGCAGGTAGTTTAATTGATTCATTTTCATCTAAAAGCAGCCAGTGGAACTGATGTGCACAGGATGCAGTAGGTCCCTTACCCAAGAAAATCAACTATTAGAACACTGCTTTGCAATACACCTCCATCCACACGGGAGGATTATAAGGGGCACTAAGATATTGACAGCTGCCTTTCCCTGATCTTAACTAAAAATGGCAGATGAAATACTGGATGATCACTAGAAGAACTGTCAATGTCAGATGAGGAAGGGAGTTTATGAGAGATGAAAGCCAAGATTCTACAAAGGAATCAAAGAAATTATAAGGAGAAATAGTTGTACTTAGAAATAATAATTATTTCTACTATTTCTTTATTATCTAAGAAGATCTTTTACACTTCCATGGTTTTTGTTAAAGAAATAACAAAGCTAAAAGAACAATATCCAAAAGGATCTGTAAGATAATACTTTAACTTATCAGAGGTTTGTGTGCATGATTTTGAAAAACCAGGTGATGGTACTCTACCAATTCCTGAAACCTGTTTGATAAAGTAATAATAGCAGTTAAGACAATGACAGGTTTCAAACTAACTGAATACAAAGTAAAGAAAATAGTTAAATATGACACTCACACTACCAATGCATTAAAGTAATATTGGGAGCAACATACCTGGAAATAAAATGAAGTTCTGGATTTGTTGAAACACAGCTGCTACATTAACACTTTGTGAGTAAAAGAAAACCCATTAAATATGCTAATAATGCAAAGTTTAAAGTCTATTTTTTAATCATTTATAAGTGCATTTGTATGTGGCTTTTAATAAAAGAAAATGTTACAACATGCCATAGTTAGGAGGTAAGGCTGTGTTAATCTTGGGCTAAGAAGGCATCACAGGACAAATCACCCCAAAACTCACTTTGGGAGATAGAGCTGAACATTAAAAGCCTCATACAAAATTCCTCACAAATTCTTTCATTTCAGCTTTACTAATTCAGGATAATACTATAACTTAAGGAAGATGTAATTTCTATTAATACAGAAAGAAAATATTAGAGTTTAAGGGGGAAAACAGACCAGTCACTTAGGAAAATGGGACTTTGGAGAACTTGGTATTAAGCACTAAGAAGCCACTAGTGAGCTGTGTTGTGTTGTCTTTGGAAAATTATTTTCTCCCAAATTAATTTCCCGTCTGTGATGCAACAAAATAAGGACAGGGATTACTTGCTTTTGGAATGTGATTTGAGGTCCTCAAATAAAATTCCATCTAAATGCAGAATATTTGTTATCATAGCTTAAAGACATATGATAAAACATATTAACAAAGAAGAAAGATCCAAGTCTGAAGCATTTCAGCATGCATGGGACTCTGTACTTGTATTTTTGTGGAATTAGGATCACAATCATTCACTGCAAATTAAAGCCAGTGCTCCTCTGACTTGTTAGCCAACTACACCAGCCTATTTGGTGGCTATCCCATTACTCCAAGTTAATGTCTCTTTCTAACAAATGATTTAAAATTAAAAAAGGTAGTCAAAAAGAGTAGACAACAATGCCCATGAGTCTCTGACAGAATGATTAAGGCTCTTATTTTGACAGCAGGAATGGTGAGCTCCAAAGTGTTTGCCTAAAAATTCTTCTCTATATTAGTATTCTAAAACATAAAGTTGTAAATTGATTGTATTTGATCCGTCTCCCTTCCAAGGCACATCTGACACTTGCAAAATGCCCTTGTGAGAAGAAAGGGTGAGTAATCCACTCACTGAGACTCTGACCTGGGCTTACCACTGCTATGAAGTAAAAGAGAGAATTGACCTTAAAGCCCTTTTGGGAAGAAAGGATACAGCAGCTACACCAGGAAAAGAGTTGTAGCTCTGAATTCTGAATATGGGGATTACATAGTAAAATGCCTAAGGACAAGATGAAACATATCTAAGAATTTTTTTGCTGAAAGTCTTGTTATTAAAGGATTACTGAACAAAAAGAACAAAATCAAAATCAACTGCCATTCCTTTTGTCAGTTTTTAATGATTTCCGTACCAAAATTTCTTTCTTTGTAATTATTAAGGACCATAGTAATAGATTAGTTCAGTTGGAGTTACATTATTTATACTTAACTTCAGTTTTAAAACATTCTTTGCTTCTGATCAACTTTTTTCCTAAACAGCAGAATATTTTCAACAGTAATAACAATAAAGTACCGTCTGCCTAAGTAGACAGGAAGATGAAGGTTGTATTTGAAGGCTGCAAGAAGATTTCAAATTAACATAAAAAGGCAAAGATTACAGAGTTTAATTTCAGATTTCATGGTCATCCTAAAAATTAAATTTCTTCATTTTAATAACTTTCATAAACTGCAGGCATCAAATATTGCCATTGTGCACTATTAAATATTTCCACCAGATGTCTCCAGTATATTAGGTTACACAGAAAGCTGCACTCAGTTTGAAGTGTAATATGCCAAATGTAAGTGCAGTATATTGAAGAAATAAAAAGAAGAAAGCTGCAACTAATATCTAACTAATATCTAACTATCTGTTTAGATATGGCCATTTTAGGGAGTTCCACAATATTACCTAGAGAAACCTAGAAATCAATTTTTTTAACTAACATTTTGGCCAAATATGATTAGGAAAAAAAAAGAAGAAGAGAGAGTTCATGGTTTTCACTTTTAAGGGGTATTTTAGATCACATCTTGATACCCACACTTTCAGAGCAATATAAGTTTATATTTAGCACAAGCAACTTTTGGATTACTAAAAAATATTTTTTTTTTGTCTTTTAAAAACAGGAAGAGTTTGCAAACCAAGCTAAAGACAATTGTGTTTTCAGAACTCCCTGATGTTAGCATGGAATAATACAGTTATTTATTAATAGCCTTTGTGGATTACACCTACTCTCTACCTTGGAGTGGTCACCCAGATTCTGCCACTCTGAGTCAGAACACAAGCCATGTTTAATACATGCAAACACACTGCCAGAAGAGAATTCCAAGGATGAAAGAGAAATGCAACACTGCTAGTTTTCAGACCCACATTTCACTGAGCTGTGCTTCAAAGGCACCTTTACATGAGGACCCCTAAAAAATCCTTCTCATTTGTCTGTGCATCAAAGTAGCACTTGATGTATCTGACAGACACCACAGAGCAAGCCTCACCTGATAATCACTTGTATGTATCAGCAACATATATGCACATCTATATTTAACTCAGGAAACCCACTCCTTTATTCAAAGTAGGTTATGCCTGAAAATGAAAGACTCAAAAGCCTCTAAAGGGCCAAGGACAGAAGGTACATATTTCCTAGGGATCTGAGGAAACACCCTGGAAGCAACCTGGGGTCATTTGCAGGGTTACATAAAAACCATATCCATCCTTTCAAAGGCTCTTAAGGTTTTTTACATGGGTTTGTTAGACTTTGAATTTTGCAGAAAGATGGGGACTACCTATAGTCACAGCAGATAGGATGGGTCAGATAGAAATCAATTACATACTGTCTTCTGAAAATATACTTTCATTTAACCAGAGTTTTCTCTTCCGAATAATCAATCTATTGTTTCAAATTACTAATACAATAATGTATAGGTACCTAACATTTTCATTTTTATCACAGAAATTCAATTTTCAACAAAAGCTTTCAACTGAAAGAAAAAAAAGCATACCAATGACAAATCATGTACTGAGCTCTTCAGCTAATTCACTAATATAGTATGGCATCTCTGTTTATCATTTATATCAAAGATATCTTTGAATAAATTATGTTTTCCAAAACAGCATAAACTCAAGTTTTTTCAAAGAAATTCGAATGCTAGTCTCTAAGACCAATGCTAAAGCATAACTGTTTTCTGGGCTGCTGACAAAAATAGCTCCTTTAAAACAGATTTTTTTTTTTCCTTATTTCTACTTAATTTCCTTTAAAAAGAAAAACAAAACAAACTCAAAAAACCTACATTAGGCCATATACTCAATTCACAGTATGGAAGCAGATGCCTTAAATTTTTATAACCTGACAACTCTTTAGAATTTCATAATATGCTTTTAAGCCTTCCTTTTCAAAATTAACTAATAAACCTCACTAGTGCGTCAATGGATTCAACTGCTGTAGTGATATTCCAGAAATAGTTTAGTCATCTAGAATTTTAAAGTCCAAAGCAAAAATAGCTGGGTGTTCTGAACTCTGAAGTGAGACAAAGTCACACAGCAACACTCTTCTCCAAGCATGCAGTGCAGAGATATGGCTGGTCATAAATACTTCTTTTTTCCTTTTTTTTTTTTTTTTTTTTTTTGTTTTGAAGGGCTTTTTTGGCAAGTGGCAGAGGGAAAAGGAGCATCACTCTGCATTTTCTGAAGTTCTATAACACGATACCTAACCTGTGGTCATAAAGAGGATCAAAATGAAGATGTATAGTACCTATAAGCATTTACAAAGATGCCTCAACTGCATCTGTCCAGAGAGTAAGAGACGACTTTTCCTCTCAATACCAATTTGTAAAAAATAGCAATTTATAAATATTTAGTATAAGGTAAACACTTTACATTTAATTTAACAAGCAGATTCAACTCACATTAAGATTTTATGAATAGTCTGGCAACCATAAAAAAGGCTTGCAAGCCCTACATGGCTCCCTACCTGACAATGATGCACATAAAACAGTGTTTAAATTAAACAATCCTTCTAAAGAAAAAATGCACCACAGTATACGAAAAATAAGATCTGTTAAATCAAAATACCTTGTATTGAGCAGTGCACAAGAAAAATATTTTCTAGTATCTCATATCTCTAAAAAGGTCATACTCAGTTTTTATTGCAGTTGCTTTTGATTGTGTTTCTTAATTTGAAGAGCTGTACAATACCTGTCCAGTATATGCAAAGTCCAGGGCCTGTTTTAAACCAAGGCTTGTGACACCATGTAAATTCACCTCATCAGCTTCACTCTCAACCATGCAGAGACTGAACATTGCCTATGGAAACAAACAGAAATGCCATTAAGCAATTTTGGATAAGAATTCCAAATAGCAGCAGCCTTGAGAGTTAGAATGAGATCTATACCAAGTTTTCTGTAACACCACAGCAATCAATCTTGCAATTGAGTCCTTTTATCATTAAAGAAATACAAAAACTTATTCTAGATAAGCTGAGATAAATCCTTTTGTTCCGTATGCTTCTTAATTAAGTAATTCAGGTGAAATCAATGAGAACAGTCACACAATAAGGTATCATTCAAAAAAAAAAAGATAACTAGACTCTGGGAAAAGAATAATCTATACAAGCAGCACTAAAATTAATACTCATGTATATCACTGTATCTAAGAAGGAGCAAAAAGCCATACACAATTACTTGAGAAGTAGGGGCAGTTAAAAAAAACATCTTTTATAAGCAATCCTTTTCCAATAAGCATCTCAGTCTGGAATGTGAGCAATGCAATAGTCAATTTATTAAATGAAGAGGAGTTAGGGAGATGCAGTCACCTAAACTTACAATCTCCCCTTACTAGTTATTGCCCCAGTTTTTCACATCATAAAGTCAAAACTGAAGATAGGCAAGGTTCAACAGAATTTCCCTGAACATACCACTGAGAAGAGCAACTCTCTCTTTCATCCAGCTTTATTTTCCAGATAATTTGTCTTCAGTGTCTCCCTGGGTTGAAGCAATCCTACTCAGTCTCTTGAATCCTTGTAAGAATCTTTTTCTTCTCATCTCCATTAAACTTCCTTGCCCTTCACTCTTTCCTCCAAACCTGCACTTGTGCTGCACTACCTCTACTTACCACTCCCTCCCTACTTATCAGCCCCATTCTCCATTCTTTGGCACCTTCCCACACCTTTTTAACAAAATACACCACTTAGAGTTTTTAAACAGTAAACTGTGAACAAATAAACTGAACAGTTCCACCATCTGCCACTACTAAAGAAAGTCTAAACTCATCCCCAGTAGGATTTGTGCTATACTCAATGTCTTTATGGAGGCTACCAAACTACCTTGGGGAACTCCAGTAACCAAGCACTTCTCATGGACATAACCCCTGACACCTTCTTTTTATACTTTGGCTGGTACCTGCAGAGGCTGAGACAGTCAACAAGCCCATTGGATTCCATATGTGCAATCTGTCCACCAAGCAGTGCTGAATTTAAAGGGGAAAAATAAGCCCTACCCTCTCTAACTATTTAGCAAATATAAATTATTACATCATCTTTACCCAACCTATTCCATTATTTACCTAGACTCAGATGACTTCAAGAACTGAGTGCTTCCTGCAAATAAGTAATTTCTTCAGAAAATATTAGTACTTTTCATAATTAAAACACCATCATTTGGCATAAATGTTTCCTGAAAATCATCCAATATAAGCAAGAATGACATTTATCATACAGTCATTCCTTCTATTTTTGCAATTTCTATTGACTTAAAGTGATATCAGGGATTCTTCCAAATTTGCAACAGATAAGAAGCAACAAATAGTTTAAAAGCTTTATCAAACAAATACAGAAAGACACAACCATGAAATATACCTAGGGAGGAAAAAAAAAACTTCTAACAAGTTTAGTTACTTTTCTTATCCATTAAAAATGTAATCAGAGTTGGATATTTTGTTGTCATGCAGTAGCTAATGTGAGGCTTCAGAGCTTGCCAGGCACTGCAAGGCATCAGCCACCTACTCTGGAAAAGCAGACCTGCAGTCGCTGTCTGGAAGAGATAAGCTTCTCTTCTCAGAAATTCACTACTAGATAAATGTTTTGGAAAACATTCCTTTCCCACACCAATTCCTGAATAAGGAGAGTAAAGTCTCAAAGCAACACCTGTCAACTGAGGGGTAGATTTGCACACCTTCTGTACACTCAAGCCCATCACTGACTGTCTGCAGAAAGGCTGGAAATGCTCAGAGACAAAAGATGCTCTGTGTCCTCCAACCATACTACTGTAACAACCTGCACACTACAGACCTGTGCATAGGAACCATCTAAAGACATTGTGGTTACTAATATAGCTCTTATTCTGATCAAGGGATAATACTCCACACAATGAGTTAAGCTTACAAATACAAAGAAACACCTAACTGAACCTTATCTGTAAACCAGGAATCATTCCTATGTGATTTCTGTGTACACTTACTAATTACCTTTAGGAGATTGTTTCAACACAGCGATTCCAACATGGTCTTTACACAGGGTTTATTACTACACCTAATTTAGTAAACTCAGCAGGATCAGGCCACTGACTCAGTCACTGTCCATAATCACTCACAGTGTTTAAGAAACACAGCCTCCAGGAGAGTTTTGACCCCTGCCAACTAGCACTCTCCCAGTCAATGCCCAGACTGGGAGATAACTGGTCCAAGAGATAACTCAAGCCACAGCTGTTCCAAATAGGTACATGGACAAAGCCAAAACATTCACAGAGGTTTAGCCATATTGTCATAAGCCATGTTATGCCAGTCTTTTTAGGGCCAGAAAACAAGGCCTCATTCACCTTGTTTATAACTACAGATACAGTCCAAGAGTACAGCGGGCTATGAGAACTGTAGCTGCCAGTAAGACACAGAACTATGGCTTTGTGGAGAATCACAGAACAGTCTGAGTTGGAAGAGACCATAAAAATTATCTAGTTCCAATCTCCCTGCCATGGACAGAGGCACCTTCCACTAAACCAGCTTGTTGAAAGTGCCACTCAACCTGGCCTTGAAGACTTACAGGGACAGGGCATCCACAGATTCTCTGGCCATCCTCACAGTACAGGATTTCTTCCAATATCTAATCCAAACCTACTCTCTTTCACTTAGACTGAAAGCCTTCCCCCTTGTCCTATTGCTACATCCCCTTATCACAAGTCCCTCTTCAGCCTTCTTGAAGGCTCTCTCCATAATGAAAGGACACACACCCTGAAGCCTTCTCTTTCTCTGGCTGAACAGACACAATTCTCTCAGCCTTTCTTCATAGGAGAAGTGCTCCTTCTAATCAATTTGGTGGACCCCTTATGGGCTCATCCCAACAGCACAAAGTCCTTCCTTTACTGAAGACCTCAAAGCTGGATGTAGCACTCCAGGTGGGGTCTCATGAGAACAGAATAGAGGGGAAAAATCCCATCCCTATGTGGCCACACTTCTCTGGATGCAGCCCAGGACAAGTTTGGCTTTCCAGGCTGTGAGTGGACATTGCTGGCTCATGTCCAGCCTCTCAGCCACTAGCACCCCCAAGTCCTTTTCAGCAGAACCACTCTCCATCTGTTCATCCCCCAGCCTGTCTTAATACCAGGGATTGCCCGGACCCAGGTGCAGCACGTTGCACTTGGTCTTGTTAATCCACATGAGATTTCCCATTTCTTAAGCTTGTCCAGGCCCCTCTGGATTGCATTCCCATCCTTCAGGTGTGTTAACTGCAACACCTAGCTTGGTGTCATCTGCAAATCTGCCAAGGGTGCACTCGATCACTTTGATGATGGTATTAAATAATACTGGTCTTGATACAGATTCCTGAGGGACACCACTTGTCACTGAGGCCGATCAGGATTCTGAGCCTTTGACCTCTGGAAGCAACTGTCCAAACACTTTCTTATCCATCTACCAGTCCCCTCACTGAATCCATCTCTCTAATTTAGAGAGAAGGATGTTGTGGGAGACTGGGTGAAAGGCTTTACAGAAGTTCAGAGAAATGATGTCTGGAGCTCTTCCCTTGTCCACTGAGGTAGTCATGCCTCAAATATTCTGTGAAGGTTTTTGAAACTGGGCAGGAACTACATCTATTTTTCAGAAAACAGGGCCAAAGAATTTGATCAAAAGATAAGGCCTGCAATGGTCCTCAGACAGTTCACATTCAGCTGAACTTGATTAGCCTCCAGGAAAATAGTCTCCCACTTAAATGATCTTCATACTGTTCACTGATCCACACTGCCTTCACCAGCAGGCAAATTTCCTTCTTAGCCTGATAGTTTTTGAGGTTTAATCCAGCATGAAAAAAAAAATCTGTTCTACCGTAGGCAGAAGTTGAACTCAACTCAGTCTTTAATTTGCATACCTGATAATTGTACTTTTAATTGTAAAAAAATTATGGACCATCACATTATGATTTGAGATTTCACCAATACCTGGAGAATAAGTTCCAGCTAAGCTGTTAAACTCCAATTTCAGATGAATCCCTGAAAACGCTCTAAGGTTTTGTGAGCTTATATAGATCCATCAGTCATGCTTTTAATACAAGACTACTAGCCTACATTATTTTTCCCTTGGGTACATTAAAAACAAGGCAGTAAGACAAATATCTCAGGTGAATGCAGAAGTAACAGATAAGAAAAACAAATGAAATATAAAATATTTGTACAAATGCACAACTTAAAGTCAAACCTATCAGAAAAGCTACCAAATTTGACTAAGCATGAATTGTTAATCATGTTAGTTATTGACTTCATTCAACAATGCTGCTGTGCTTTATTTTAAAACATTTCATCTTGAAGTAAAATCAATTTGACTATGCCTCATTTCTGCTTCAGGACCTTCATGAGACTGGAAAGTACAAGTTGCCAGTGTTAACCAAAGATCCCTTTTATAATAAAACCCACCAATGAGAGGACTTAAAATTTTTTCCAGCTTCTTTAAATATCCAGATCTTGTTCTGCCATCCAGTCATATAATTAGCCAACATTGGGATAAATAAATTGATTGTTTAAAATCGGGTATTTCTATTAAGATTTTAAGTAAGTAAACCAAATCTCCCAATGCAAAGTAAGTACAATCCACTTCCCATTTTTTGGCAACTATTCCAAAATTCAGGTCTCAACATGCTGACACAAATGGATGTATTCCATTTGTGTAATTCCACTTAAGGTCACACTTATTTCAGATGCTATAGATCTGGATGGCCTTATTTTTGTGGGGCAGGAAGGTGCTTTATTAGCTCCTCTTTTTGGAGGAATTAAGGAATCAACCTTCCATTCTTCTTCTAATCCTGGCCTGAAACAGAAAGAAAGCTA